TATTTTTTAAATTTTAACATGGAGGTCTATGGGGATTGAGTTGCTTTTGAAGCCAGCTTCAAGTGGACATTTGAGGAATAAAACTTGTGCATTGCTTTCATTTTTCAGCCTCAGATGTTCAATTTAACTGTAGTTTCTCTGAGATCTATGGCACATTTTAGCATCTTTCAGCTTCTTGTTTTGGTTTTTGGGACTTTATAGGTTTGCTCTCCACCAAAACCTTGTGCTTCCTCAGCAACACAGAAACATATTTGTTTTGGTACATTCTTTCATCAGACAAACCTGAACAACCTTTTAATCACAGGAATTCACCCCCAGCAGCCGATGTAGAGCAAAACTAAGCTCAACTCATGTGAAAAACAGGTGTGTAAATTAGCTACTGATTGCTAACCACTTCTTCACAGCACAATCAGTTTAGATATGTCAATGTTATATTTAAAGGCTAAAGCTTGCTGCCTCTGAGTGGCTAAGAAATCTATTTATCCAGTTTCTACCGGTCAGTATATATATAACTCTGCAGTACAAAGCCACCTACTAACGCATCCTAAAATGACTGTGAAATATCAGGTGACATGATTAACAACAAGTTATCAGAAACAATGTCTTAAGTCAGCTGTTTCAGGGTATCTTTGCATAATTCTTAGAAGTCTGATAGATCCAGTCTCTGGTCTCTTCTCAGTTAGTCAGTCAGTTTGATTCCTGGATATTTGCAAGCTATTGGTCACAACAGACTTAGCTGCTGTTTTTGTGGAGCTGAAGTCCCTCAGAGGGAATGTTTCTTGAGGTTACGTTAAGTTTTCGAAGATAACAGCTGTGCTGGAACACAAAGGTCTTTGCTCTCCCAGTCAGACTTTTCCCTCTGGATTGGACGAGACATTTTTATTAATACAAAAGACTTGTTATTTCACACTTGATAATTATCAGGGGGGTTTCTTTGTTCATTCTAGGCTATTGGACTTCCAAATAAAGTTTTTGCTGGTGTTGAGTCAGAAAACTTTGGTATTATATTACATCGAATTAGAACATTTAATGCAGCATCGATACAAAACCAAAATCCCAGAGGACACTAAAGGAAATCATGAATCTCTGAAAACTACAGCAGTGACTCTCCCATGCTAGCAATGCATCCTACAATAACAAGCTGTCCTAAGATGGAATTATGAAACACATCAGAGAAACTCCAGGGATTCATAGTGAGACAGGGGAAAGTGAGGTCTCTCACCAGAACAGGCTGGGTTCATAGCCGCCAATTAAGGGCATCATTTTTACATAGATACTGATATTAAAAAGTGTCTTTGCATTCAACCAATCAAAGATTTAAACTTTATCTGTTCAGCATCTTTCACAAAGTTTAGTGAAGTTCAACGTGAACAATAGTAAAGTGAAATTAGAAAGGAATAGATAAAGATCAAAAGGACAAAACTTGAAAATAAAATAAAATAATAAACCTAGATTTGTGAAAGTCTATAAACAATACTCAATACTCAATCGAAAGCCAGGCACAAGAGGTCTGCTTTACGTTTAAAGTTTTCAACAGCTCCTCAGACACACTGTTCCGGCAGTTGGGAGCATAAAATCTCAAAACTGCATCGCCAGAGGCTTTAGCTTTGCTCTCTGGAACAACTAACAGACTCTGGCCAGAGGACCTGATAGACTTTGCTGGTTCAGACACTATAAGCATGAGAGACATGCACCCATCAGCCACAACATGAAAACCAGCTGCCTAATATTAGTCCCCCATGTGTTGCCAAAACAGTTCAGACCCATCTGGACACGGACACAGGACCTGTGGAGATGTGCTGTGGTGTCTGACACCAAGACGCTGCTGCTTGGCTCTTTGGGTCCAGCGAGTTGTGGGAAGGAACCTCTGTGGGTCAAGCTTGTTTCTAGCTTGGTCTGCGACACTGTTCAGGTGGGTCGTACGTCTCAAAGTAACACACAAAAGAACGCTATAGATGATCAATGTTATTTCATTTATCTGTTCACAGTTTTGATGTTGTGGCTGAAGCAAGTACAAGATCTGTTAAATCAATACAGAAACTGACAGAAAACTAATATTAGGACTTTAAACCAGGTGGGATAGAGTCTCTACTTATAGCGAACTACTTCCTGTTAATCCAAACCGTTCTGAATATATGATATAATCTATTATATGTATAATTTACAACATTTTTTATTAGACCAGAAACAAGATACATGATTGAAACATTTTGATCAACTTGTGAGTGGATTAAGATAAAATGACCATTGATGAGGCTGTTTGAGCTTAAGTAATTTTTCCCTAAAAATACCACAGCACACCAAGACAACAACAGATTACTAATCACACATGTCCTGGCATGCAGAGGAAGCACAGGAGGGAGAAATACGAGGCCTTCAGTTTACTGCCAACAGATGCTGTCTCCGTGATGCTCAAAGTGACAACATGGCTGCTGGCAGAGTGATAAAACTCATTAACCTCAAGCACAAGCAGCTGTGTTGATAAAAGTCTGTCTAGCTAAAGTGCAATGAGCTAAACACTGACCAACGTCAGATATATATCATCTACTAGGGCATGGTGGACGCAAACTACAGTTTGAACAAAGAAACAGTCATTTTAATGACTGAGAATGTGTAATAAACATACCAAAAGAGCAGAAAAGCTAGCTAAACCAGTTAGCTAATGAATTACCAGTTTAAATGAGCAAAAGCCCTGTGATAAATGGTTGAAATATTAAAGCAATAGTGAAAATGCTTAAACTGTGCAATTTGTTAGAATTGCTTAAAGTAATGGATGAATAGTTTAAGTAGGGAGTTTAAAGTTAAGCTGTCGGCTAAACTTAACAGCTAAAAGTTCAATGGTTGAAAAGGAGCAGTACAAACTACTACACAGTTATTGACGAATGACTTATTCTAGAGGATAAATGGTTAAACTGGACTAAAATAAATTGTAAAAACAAATATTAATGTAATGGTAAAAAGGCTAAAAGTAAATAAAAGGTTGAAATTCCTAAAAGCAACAGATAACAGAGACAAGTAGTCAACAAATGTTTATAATAGAGCTAAAGTGTAACAGTTGTGAGCTAATAGTAGGCTAACTGTTCTAAAATGGCAAAAATTAGTATAAAAATAATTGAAAAGTTGCCAGATGGTTAAAATTTTTTGACATATGGATAAATGGTTGAAATAATTAGTTAAATGTTAAGGATATCAGTTAAAACAGTAACCAAAAATACTGAATAAATGGTAAAAATAGTAGTTTGAAAAAAAAAAAGCTAAAATTGAATTAGCTGAAACTGATAAAGTTGCTTATAAATGATTGAAACAAATACGAAGAAGGAGACAAATTAGAATTTAAATAGAGCGCTTAAAGTTGTGCATAAACTTTTGTTGGTTGTAACTGTTAGTAGTAGTGAATAGTTTAATTGTTAAACAGAGAAAAGCTAGCAGTAGTTGGTAAATGGTTGAAGTAGCTACTGTCATAATAGTTAGTTAAAATCATTTGATAAGAGTGGTGGATAAATGGTTTGGTAATGGCAAAAAGCCTAAAAGTGAACAGCCAAACCCAGTCACGAATTAGCTGAAATAGACAGTTAAAAGTTATGGATAAACAGTTAAATAGTGAGAATTAAAAAAAGAAAGAAAGAAAGAAAAAAGGAACATTTCTGAAAAGGTTCAAGGCAATGGAAAGGTTATAAAATAATTATCTGAAACATACATTTTCTATCATTTCAAATGCAACCTGGACTAAATACTCACAGTTTGAAAGCATGAATTTAAAAAAAATAAAATAAAATAAAAAAAATTGTCCACTTTTGTATAACTAATAAATAAGAGCCTGTTTAAACTGAGTCAAAATTAATCCGTGGTGAACATGAAAGGTGCCGGACACCCAGGACCAGACTGCAACATCACAGATGAAGGTTAAAGCAGATCTGTTTTATGGAGGCTGGATCCACTTGACTGTGTCTTTGTACTGGACTCGGTCACATTGACTCACATGAAGACCCTGCAGCAGAAAGCAGCTGCATGACCTTTACTGACCCCTCCTGTATGTGCTAATGTATACAGGCGTTATATTTAGATTTACATACAGGGCCTGCAACAATGCAACATTTGATATCATTTTGCACTTTAGTTCTACATATTATTATTAATCAGTTTGCCACAAACCAAATACAGACTTAGATGATTCTACATATAATTGATTTCTTTCCCTTTTGCATCAGTACTTGAACATTATGCAGCTGATTATGACACAGAGCTGTGTAGTCAACTGACAGCTGCATTATTCATGCGCAATAAAAACTTATAACTGTTCTTTATTACATAATGTTAAGCTGCTAGTTTGTAGGTCCATCTTAGGTTAAAATCCAGGTTTTACAACTTCATTATTATTAATGGTTTTGAGCAGGACCCCTGAACATCTGGATCCCACCGTGTGCACACTTAGTGAAGTCCAGTAAGGCTCTGTGGGGTGATTCCTGCTCGCTGCTGTTCTCACAGGTGAGGAAACTTAACATCCAACGCAGGGCAACTTGTACCAAACATCATTTTAACACGTTCCTCGCATGCTTTCAGTGGCTTCAGTCGCATGCTGTTGTGTCTGTGTGCCATGAAACACGTTTCACAGCTGTTACTTCCTCCCACTCACACTGAATATAAAGCAGCACAAACCGCATTAAAGTGAAAGTTTGGTGAATTTTGTGCAGGGTGCTCGACATAATCTCATTTTAAAATGGCTTACCTGCTCTCCCCGGTGCGCAAAGGGTATAATGTGGATTTCTTACAACAGCCAGACGCTCTTTGGGAGATGATCAGATGTCACGCAGCTAGTCGTTTTCACTTCCCACTCAGAGACAAGTGTTAAACTGCTTCAGTAGTTTCTTGTTAATTAAACTGCTGCAGTTGAGTTTAGCGCGCTGTTTCAGTCCGGGGGGGTGGAAAAAAATCTCACTAACGAGGTCTGATCAGATCAGATGTAAGATAAGCAGCCCTCCTGCTCCGGTGGATGACTGCACATAGATGAGTGGTTTCCTCTTTCTCAGCCTTCCTCAGAAGACACCGAGGCTGATGGTTCCTGTGTTTCCTCTCCAGGGGCGGGTCAGCTACAAGCCTGCTGTGTGCACACATGATGATGAGGAGGATGATGAATTGGTGCTATGGAGACACTTGATCCAGTTTATCTGTCTAACAATGTGGGGACAAATATCCAGTTATTACACAGCATCAAAGCGCTGAAGTAGTCTACATGAAACTGACTATTATCTGGAAGCTGCGTGCTTTTGAAATTTTTTTTTTTTTTAGTTGAAACTACTTCATAAAACAAAGATGACACCAAGCATGGCTGTTCACTGGTCTTTTATAACTACAGGGATTGCTGGAAAAAAAATAAAGCAACATAAAACCAGACAGCATTTTCTTACAACTGATTATCATCATAGTGTGCACTTAATACTGTAGCTTAGTCCCTTTACACACGCACGCGCAAACACACAAATGCACACACATTTATTCATTTAGCTTTAACTTTGCTAAGGGGACCATTTCAGCACTGCATGTAGTGTGTTCCAAAAATAATAATAAATCCACCATCACATCAGTCTTTATCTGACTGCAACATGTGGCATTATTATTTAAAAAAAAAAAAAAAAAAAGGCAACATGGAAACAAAAAGACAAACTAAAGCAGGTTCAGTGGAATTCTCAGAGCATCTTCAAGTAAACAAAGAAAAAGAAGTGTAGCGTGATTACGTGGACCCAATAACAACATAGAGCACTGTTCACATTTGCTTTGCTCGCCAAACAATGTAACACGTCCATCATGGCTGCATCATGTGGAGGTGGAATGTGCTTCCTAGCTTTGACCAGCCGTCTCTCCTCAGCAGGCTGGGCTCAGTGTTCATCAATCACTCCACATCAGCACATGTTGGACCTAAGAAGTCCCAGGGATCACTAAAGCGTGATCAAAACACATTCCGCTTCCAGGATGGCGAGGCTTCAAAATCTCTCTGTAGCTCTCAGACGTTCCTGATGGGAGCAATAAAACACCAGCGGTGGAATCAGGCAGAGGACAATAAAAACTGCTGGCTGATAGTCCTCGGCATCGTGGCATCACATGACCCCCATCGACAAAGCGCCAATGCCTTCAAATGTCATTAAATAACTCACTCTCACTCTGTCTTGTACACAAAAACAGTCATTGTTGCGGGTTCTTGTGCTAACTCTAAATCACTGAACGCAGCTGTGCACGCTGCAGTGATGTGGCTTGGCAATTGGCACGGCTTCTAAATCGAGACAAAAATGTTGTTTCTAATGCTGCTATTGATACCAGCTGGCAGCTTCTGCGGATCCAAATCAAAACAGTGTGTAGGCACCTTCACTAGACACATACGGGGATTCAGCTTCCCAGAATGGTTCATGACCATCTCTCACTATTAGTGTTTCTCAAGAGGCACAAACAAGAAGGACCTTGTTTAAGGAACTATTTCCACACTGTGACACAGGCCTGTGGAGGAAACATAGCTGCAGCTTAAAACGTCACATTGTCAGCAGCAGAAACCTCGGCTAAACTGTTAAGGCAGGATATTAGTGTGGAATATGAAAAGCTTATCTCAGTGCAGCTACCTATTGTATGTGTAATAAATTCATATTTACTTAGGACACACAAATAAAGTGATGACCTCCTACAATGTTCGGAAATTATGCAAATAAATACAGTGAACTTGGTGTGTTGAGCCACAATAACACACAGCAGTCAGACAGCATTACAGTAATGTTGCAGACTGAATTTAGACAAATTAAATGGCCTTTTGTGCGACACAGTTACTCTCAAGTAAGGCTCTGCCATACTTGGGATTTCAAACATAAACTCAGCGAGAGCACTAACACACAAAACAAACCAATGGTAGACTGAAGTCTCACGTCATTTGTGTAAATTTTGTCATTTACATGTGAAATAAATGCTCAATATCAATACTGCATTCATGTCTGTATGCTATAATACAGCTGGCAGGTGATTGTTTAGCCTATTGAAGATTAAAAAAGGATAATCTGGATCTGTCCAAAGGTTAACAAAAATCTGTCACCCAGTATCTCTAAAGCCTTGGTTATAGTCTCTCACGAGCTGAATCTATTATACCGTTTTTCTCATCCACACCAGTCTGCTTGTAGGACTCTGTTTCACACATGTGCAGTAGGTCACATCTTGAGCATGTGCACGGTTACTGTTGTAGTGTAGTTGCCACATGGGCACAAATTTCGGAAACTCTCACATACTTGCAGACACAGAAATACTGACACGGGCCTCAGGCTAGTGTTAAGTTCCTCCAAGCAGACTGGAAATAGCACAACAAAAACATCTATACTGTCCCTAAAGCTCACTAATGAACTTGCCCTTTAATATGTGCAAAAAAAGCCAAGAGGAGACTTCAGGAAGTCACTGCTTTCAGTCCAGACCGTAACTGCTCATAACATCCAGACTGGTTGTTTTTACACTCAGTTTTTTTTTTGCACAAATTAAACAAAAGAGATACACATCAGTAAGCATTAAACCAGCATTATACTCCTTTGTGGACATACACACGGATATCCTATCTTCTAGTCAGATCGGACAATGTTCGGCACGTGTGCAGAAGGTTGTCATCTACCAATCCAGCACAGTGGCTGCACACAAACCCCCACAGAGAGGCCCATATGGATTCTCATGGACTTACAAGTTGGAAACACTGACCTTAAAGATGGTAGGCCGATATTTGTTATCTTTGGACAGAGTGCGGCAAGTTGCTTGTCCTTGTTGATAGTTCTTGTGCTACACTAGCCCACTCCTGACTCTAGCCTCGTATTTAGCATACAGACACGAGGCATATTGATCTTCAGTTCTCGACAAGAATAAATGCATAAACCAAAATGGCCAACTACTATCTTAATTGCATTGATCTACAGAAGTGTGTCTTCACTTATGAATGTGTCTCTGCTAGTTTCCTAATTAAAACTACAGCAAGTTTACAAAGTCAGTGGGTGAGAGACTATTTTGTCTAATCAGATAACAATGCTAATTACAGTTTAAGGCTCGCTAACATAAACAGAACTTATCTTTCCAGTCAAAACACATCTAACAAACTAATATTTTGGTTATGACGACATTATGCTGTGTGCTCTATGTGCCAAATGAAAGAAGTCTGAGTGCAAGATGCCAAATGCACTCGCAATATACAGTCAAGTTTAGACCTCCGCACACATCAAATGAATATTTGACCAACTTCATTGAACCGTAAGTGAAAAACCATCACAAAGTTAGTGTGTTAGTGCTGCTTAACAAAATGTGCAGTAGAGTTGTAGAACACAGTATACTTCAGGGCTTGAACAGCAAACATAATCGTGATGAGATGCTGATGTGGAAGCTGTCTGCAGCATCAGTCTTCCTGATGACCAATCAGCGAAGAAATCAACAATCGAAAGGCCCTGAAACATATTTGGCAACTCCTCAAATCTCCAGCTTCACATGCTGTGTTGAAAGAGCTCATTTTCTGGTCTCTTGTACGAAACCTCTTACAGGCACTTTATCCACTGAAAGAGAGGCATCTGTATCGTGCTGTAACGTCTGGAAGACTTGGTGCAAAAAAACTTAAAATTAAAAAAAGCCGCATCTCTCTGAAGTCTGTCCAAAGGGATTTTTCAAGGTTGTGGGGGAATTCCAGCATCGCAAACCTTTGTTTTGTTAGTGTGGAAAAAATAGTGGAAAGCGTCCACTAAATATTTAACAAAGCAAAGCTCCCGTGACACTTTATGCAAGTAACATGCTTTAAGTCAGCTTTGATGGAATTCCCCTTCAACAGACTACAACATTGTGGACACTGGGTAAAGTGTGGAGGAATATTATATATGAGAAAAAGCCAGATAAAAGGCACTGAGACTTGGTTTCATGCTGCTCCTTCAGACATGAACTGAAGACAAAGACGATGTACAAGGATTCACTGCTGGTCAGCGCCGACTTGGTTCACCAGGCTGTCGCTTCTCATGGCTCACTTGTGAAACAGTAAACATACAAGCAAGCCCCTGGACTACAACTCTACACAAAGCGCCTGCTGTGCTGCACTGGCAGGATGATGCAGTTGTGTGTCCAGTGAGGTTCTGCATCTGCCGTTAGTGTTGCTAAATACTGAGCACAGACGTTCAGCGTGACCGGGTGTTGCTGTGAAGCGGGGTGAGGTTGGGGGGGGAGGTCAGTGAGGTACAACAGTGGACCGTGGGGGCTGAAAGGTTGCTGAGAGCTCAGGAGGGATGGCGTGGTCGGTCTGATTGTGCTGCAGGAGCAGGGTGGGCGAGGCGGCAAAGTCAGGTCTCAAAGTATTTGTAGATGGCTGTGACGTAAGTCATGACACTCTGCCAGTCTGGCCTCTCCGTGTGCACCATCTCATTAATGTCCTGCAGCAGAGAAAATGACAGTTAAAACAAGAAAAACACAGCGAAAATTAAGATTTACGTCTCAAAAAAACACGGTGCACAAACATTTTAGATTCCCCATTTCAACTGAATTTAACAAGATTAGTCATTAATCGTTTGGTAAGTGACAATGTAAACAACTTAATCATCATCATCTCCACAATTACTGGACAGATTCCAGCTGTTGTAAAAAAAAAACAAAAAAACCTTCCCTCAATCTGAGATAATATTGTATCTACTTATGAAGCAGGCCAGGTATTAGTGGAGGGCATCCTGTATAATGTTTACTTATTTAGTCCCTTAACATAAACTTTCCCGAATAGTTAGACATTTTGGGAAATAAAATTATTCAGTTTCTTGCTGAGAATTGAAAATATTGACATCCCTGTCATATCTGCATGCTAAATATAAGGTTGAAGCAAGCAGCCTCGCATACTGGAAGCAAAGGGAAACGGCACCCTGGCCCCATCTAAACATAACCAAATCCACCAATCAGCACATCTAAAGCTCACTAATTAACACGTTATATCTCATTTCAGGTTCAGATTAGAGTGTGAGTCAAAACAGGAAATTTGTGGTCCAGAGAATCAACAAAAGAAGCTGAAGGATGCTAACATGTTCTGTGAGTCTTAGAGGAAATGACACTAGTTAAATTTCTCTGTAAGTCTGTGTGGTAACCCTCACTGTTCCTCACAGGTTCACTTGAGGTCGAGTCCAAAAGAGAGTCTCCATAAACCCATGCATTAAAATGTGCAACGTTACAGCAGAAATACACGTTTACAACCAAAAAAAAACGGTTTCAGTCTGTACAGCTAATTGTCCCATTCATGACAACTGTATGAAGGTGAATTTTTACAGTTTTATCTGGTTGTCGTCATAGGCCCAGAGACGTTGCATCGTCTGGCTCAGCTCCAACCACAGAGTACCAGCGAACCACTTTGATCATTTTTAGATTAGGTGGACGTCAAGAGTTACACATTGCCAAGATGGAGATTTCTGTTTCCCTGTTTCTATTCTGTATGCTGAGCAAAGTGGCTGCAAGCTTTAACATTTGATTGAGAGACATGAAAGCAAATAATTGCATTTCCCAAAATGTATGGATATACATTTAAGTAAACCGGAGGTCAGTATATATTTGTACGCACAGTCTAATAGTATCACAGACAGGATATTCCACAAAACCTTGTTCCAGCTTTCATTGAAGCTACATGATGTTTACATGCTGTATTTAAACTCAGGAATCAATATTCATCACAGCCGCACCATTTCATTAAATTTTATTTTATTTTTTAAATGCTCTGTTTGGAATCTCCACAAGAAGTTCAAATAAATTCTTCAGGATTTAGACTGCATCAAGCTGCACAGTTAGATTTGCACAGCTGTGATGATGTGGAGGTTTATGAGGTTAAAAGCAGAACTACACACAGTACATTAAGGAAATTGCAAAACAAACTGTAGTTCATCTTTGGGTAATCATTACAATGAGCACTATAGTTGAAAGTTATTTAAAATCAGAAGTTCAGGTGGCTTATCGGCAAACAATGGAAAAAATAACATCAGGACAGAACTGTCCATTATTGGGGTTATATTTTTCTGAAGTCATTTCATATGTCTACAAAGCTTACCAAAGTGCATTTGATGCCAACACTCTCTGCAGCCTGGAAGGCTAAGGTGAAGTTTCTCCTCTGAAAAAGTGAGTGAAGTGAGAGTTGAAGTCACACATAATGAAACATGAAAAAGGATGATTCAAAAATGGGGGTTTTCCTCTGAAACTTGCCTTCTCTTGGCTGGTGAGCTCCTGGTAGGGGATGTGTGCGGGCAGGTAGGTGTGGAGCACAGCACAGAAGGCCAGGCCATCATTCCAGCTGCTGCTGAAGTTAGTGATATCAATGTTCTGAAAAACACACCGATGACCCGTTTAAACTTTGATTGAACTTGACAGAGCATTTACAGTGGAAGACAAAAATCAATAGGAAACCAATTTTTGGGTCTGATCTGACCTAAGAGGGTACAGCATTTCATCTTTCAGATCATGAACGTCACTTCGCTTAGCTTTCTACATCTCTTTAAACAATATTACGGTCACAATAAATTCTGTTGTCATGAACCATTTAAAATGATTTATCCACGGTCCTGGGGTTTTATATGAACTATCAACACTACTCATCCACATCACATTTATCACCTTTTCTACTATCAACTGTTATCTGACCTTTAAAATCAAACTTTTACAACCTCCTACAAACAATCCCTTAAAGTTGAAAGTAGATGCCCAGATCTACTGGTCATAGCTTTAACTTATATAGTATGCAATGATTTACAGATAGTCTAGTGTTTTTGTCAGGAAGGTAACCCACAGGATGAGCCAAATGTTGCGCACTTCCTGGAGAGGACCGTAGATGCCATGGTAACCACAACCTACATCACTTAAAAGAGGTAAATATCACTTCAATATGGCATGTGACTCTGGAACAACCGTTGATTGTTATTTAAATCATTACTAGGTCAACACTTAGACATGTCACATTTAGAAAGGTGTTTTTATATACGAGTCCACTGTGTCTTAAAAGAGACAATACTGCAGCCAACAAATGAGACAAACAAAGAAAGAGCAGTCACTGCAACATCCGGCACAACAGAGGCAAAGATGACTCAATTTTATATAATCAATGCTCCTAAAGTCAAAAAACATTTTAGGCACTAATAGTGAATGAAAATTATAAGCAAGGGCCATTTCATGTATTAACGTTCATTATTTCGTCAGAGCTTTAGTAGAAATCAGCTGGACTTCTCTTGTAAGTTGTTGAAGACATTTCATCCAAGAGGTTGCTGCCTAGTTTGTTTAGTCCATTTCTGGAAAATTGATAAACAAACAATCCATGATTTTCCCTGTTCAATATAACTGACATGTATGAAGAATATTGGCCGATAAATCCACAACAGAACTTTTTACTCTTCAAATTTGGCATCGACATTGGCCACAAGAATTCAGTATCAATCAGGCTCTACTGATAAGCCCTCAATTCATGGGTCTGTTAATCAAACTGGACTAACTGGATCATGTTTCATCGTCTCACTGGTTCCTGAAGCCACATGTTGATGGTAACGTGATTGGGTTGTTTTTAGTGCTTTCAGTCCGAACAGTAACTTACCCTTAGTGTGCAGGGAAGAATCTTAATCTCTCTCTCTCTCCATGTCATGTTTTTCGTCTAACTGACTAATGGGCAGTTACAGAGTTTCCACTCCAGCTGATTTCTAAAGAAGCTCCTACAGTTACTATAACCTGTATGACTGACAATCAACACACACATTTATCATTATCTCTCTAAATGGTGGTTTTAATTCTTGGTGGCAAAGTCTGCCATCCTTATGTGGGATTCAAAGTGTTGGTTAATCTACCAAATTGCCATATGAAGACGTTTACTTCTAAACATTGTGGTGGACCCCCGCTTTCTTGAACACCCACTGTGGTTATTGATTAAACCCCTAAAAACGTGTTTTTTTCCATGAAAAAATGAGTGTAGATCTACAACACCTATGAGATAGCCGCCACTATGTCCACACCGTCTTAGCAAAATCTTTCAACTGGCATCTACAAAAACGTTTAAATAAAAACAGACAATCATGCTCGACAGTGGATCAGTTTTAAATTCATTTGGAGTAGGATGTGAGCAATATAACAAGAAGCAGCAGCTACAGTGAGGCTGACACAGTCATGTCCTCATAAAAGTAAGAAACCTCATTGTGCTACCGTTTATGTCGACAGAAACATGGAGAACAAAATCACTGTCGTAAAATTCATAAGCTAGTGGAGAAGAAAACTGTGCTACACCCCCTCCATTTTTAATCTCGTGAATTCCATTTGACATTATAAGCCGTTGCTGATGACACTGACACAGAAGATGTGCTTGATGCTACACAGTTGTGTATAAAAATGTAAAAGAGTATAAAGCCAAATATTACTCTTTTCTAACACTGTCAGACTTACAACAGCAAAAATAATAATAAAGGCTCACAATATAATCAGCAGAACCAGAGACATTTTCCTTTCCTGTCAAAACTTAGCACCCACCTTGCAGCTCATAGTTAAGTTTAAAGTGGTGAATGCAGCCTTGAGTTTAGCAGCCTCAAGCAGAGATAAGGAGTGGGCCTACAGAGGTCTGGAGAGCTCATTTCTTTACACATCACTAGATTTTTTTCATTTTCAAACTTGACTCTGATGTGCAAAATCAGTGAGGTTTTCTTTTAATAAAAGCACATGATGTTTATTTATTGTCAGTTTCACCCCGAGTGACAGATATCTGATCATGCGTTACAGCGACAGACCAGAATCCCACCTGATAGCCTTCCGTCTTCTTCTGGCACCACTTTAGCAAAGCATTTCTCTTGGAGCCGCCATACTCCCTGGCCAGTGCTGACAGCGGGTCCTTTCGCTCTTCTCTGTTACACACAGAGGAGACATGTAAGCAAACACTCTGCCACAGTTTTAAAAGATTTGCTGTGTCAGAAACACACACAGATCATATGAGGAGTTTGTTTGTTTAGCGAGCTAGAAAAAACTGTCATGACTTGAGCTGAATGTTTTGTCATCAGATCAATCACAGTCTGAGGAGGTGATGTCACAAAGGGGGCCAACAGATTGAAACCAGACTGAAACAGGCTTCAAACATGCATTATAAGCAAATAACAAACCTACAGCACAACGCACAGGAAATCAGAGCACCATTGTGTGGTACCTTAGCCGGCTGCGTGCTGTAGGGGTGATGGATGCAGTGGGGGAGGAGGAGGACAAAGAGAGCGGGGAGGAGGCTGCACTCATGGCCATCAGAGAGGCTGAGGATCCCCCGTCTGAAGCCGCCATGTCCCTCTTGATCTCCTCACTGCTCCGGCGGGACACTGCTCGAGACAAGGATGTGATCATAGACTCAGTCGTTTTTTCAAAAACCACACAAATGATTGCGTCACTTCATAACATACTTATGAGAAGTTTATGTAACTCAACTAGCATCTCTAACCTGAGATGGCCTTGGTGGAGTCCATGTTGGAGACCCTCTGGATGACAGGCGGAGGCCGGGCAGCTGAGGTTCCCCTGAGAAGGTGCTCAGCTGTGGACACATCACAGTATTTACATTACATACAGTACCAGGGATTCTATGAGCGACTTCCTCTGAAATTCGATGTGACGGGGATCAGCAACGTGCTACATTCTAGTCCCTCAGAGTTCAGGGAATAACAAGAAAACAATAAATCAGAGCAAAGTAAACGAAACATTTGAGGCGATGGTCAATCCTGCACGTTCACATGAAACACTTGAAGTCATTACGGCTGAGAATGAACCGAGGGACTGAGGCCTCATTATTTCCCTCTTATCATCCACTCAGCATACATGAGTCCTGCTAATTCCAGGCTTCTGGGAAAAAACTTTGCATGTCACGAGTGAGGGGAGTGTCAATTCCTGTGAATCACTGTGACAGAGATGTAGCTGCAAAGGACTCGCTATCCTGTGTGCTGTCCATTTACAGTATTCTGCACGCTTGCATATTTATACTTGCATTTATGGAGCAACAGCTGTTACATAAAGAAACTGAGATTATTTATCCAGGGCAGGGAGTATATTTACCTGGCATGGTGATGTCTGTGTAGCTGGGCCTCTTATCACTCAAGGAGGAGAGCGGCTTGGCCGCTGACATAGACCCAGTTATGGAGTGTCTCTGAAACAGCAGAACAGTACTTTTATTGTATTGCAAAGCAGAAGGGCTTTGTTTAAAGGAGGGCCTTGCAGAACTGTGTGTGGAAGTCCATATATTTTAATGCCACATATAAAAAGTACAAATAATCAAAATGATGCACTTTTTTTGTCAATACTGTAAATACAAGGATTACACCAGGTCCTTACATCTTAAGGTAACTGTGGTAATATACAAGGGCAACTGAGGCACTGGTCAATAAAACTAATTAATAAAGATTTTCTGTGCAACTACACGCAAGATAAGTTTTCATATTTACAGATAATACAGTGACTGATTCCACTTTCTTCTTATGCATTGCATTTACATTTATATCCTTAAAAAACATATTGCTTGTTGATATCACACTTCATATCAAATGTAGTGAAGACCAAAGGTCAGAAAAACTCATACAGGCATGTTGTCTTTTTTAAAATATAGGCTGGCTATTTCACTCAGTGTTGTTTTGTATCTGTAAGGTTGCGCTCACACTTGGCAGGTTTGATTAGATATAAACAGACTATGCTGGTAGCATGATTTGTCTAAACTTGTGTGAATCCTGCCACTGTGGTGAACACTACACAATGTCAACGAGAACAGTGGTCCTGGTCCCATTCCAAACTAACTCTGGTGCAGTTTGACTGATCGATAAATCCTAAATAACCAAGCATTAAAAGTGCATGGGATGGTATGGTAATACAGGCGAAGAGACAAAATAGTCATTGAAAACACTTTTCCTAGTACCTGTATGGGTGAAACAGCAGCTGCTGGGGGCGTCTTCATGGGACTGGGACTGAGGGGGGTTCGTGGTAGAGGGGTCGCGGCGGCTGTGGGAGCCACAGCGGCACCATTGGTAGGTGGACCTGAATTAAGAGGGAAAATGTAACAGTTCACATACAAATACAAACAGCTCAGTTAGGAGCCACTACACACAAGTCACTACATACCAACTTGATAGATGTCAAGGATGTCATCTCGTCAAACAAAACCATCATGCTACAAATTACACAGGATACAATTTTCACTCTAAATTGTAATTATATCAAAGATTAAAATGCTAGTTAGTACTCCTTTTAATGTCATTTTGCATTTTCAGTCTGCAGCCAAAAAGCACCTCGACAACTTACACCAACGGGGAATAAGTACTAAAACATTAAAAACAATTATGTTCAATCTATACTGTGGAAAAACTGCAGATATTAATAGCAAACTATTACTAAAGCAGCAGCAATGTCTAAAATAAGGACAATGGAGCATCTTGTGATTATGTGTACCTTGTGAAGCACTATCAAAGCTCTTGATGAGTGTTTTGACGGTGGGCGAGGGCTCTGAGGAGGTGGAGGATCGCCTGCTGAGACCCATTCCCTGTCTTAGAGCAGCCAGGTCCCTCTCCACCGCATTCATGTAGTTGTACACTCGGCCCCTCTCCTCCTCCTGCCTGGAACACAGACAGTACTCTAATAAGCATATCAAATGTCTCCTTGTCTTGTTTAGAAACACGAGACAGACGAGGTCAGTGTGAGCGCTGGAGCTCTTCCATATGTCTGTCTGGGGGTCTTACTTGCGGCTCTTGACTTCGTCCAGCTCCTTGCTCAGCTTCTCGTTCTTCTCCAGTGCTTCCTGCAGCCGGCGCCGCAGGTCTCCAATCTCCTCCTGAGCTTCCGATTTGATATCATTAGCAATGACAACAGCCGTTTGTAGATCAGCCTGGAACTGACGCCACTCCATAGACTCCTCCTGCACACACGCCACACAAAAACAATGAGACAGCAGCAGACAGCTGAACATTATTTATGCTAAATAATACATTAGATCATTAATGCAGTATTGATGAATTCTTTTGGCCACTTGGGGTAGTCTGTCTTCTTGGCTATGCAACAGTATAACTTAACAAGATAACATATAATAGCATTCATTTATAACTGTGCTTGTTTCCCTGATTAATTGTAAAACTAATATCCACTCTTCTCTTTGCTCTGTTTTGTTATCTTTGCTCTGTTTTATCTGTTATCTCCCTTATGTGCAATTGTTATTATAATGTGTGTGTGTGTGTGTCTATTGCATTTCATTTCTCAGCTCTTCCTATTTATAGTTTATTTGTTCTCTTTTCTTCCTATCACTTTTTTTGTGCTCTTTATCTTTTGTGCTCTGTATCCATACTGCTGCAACAAGTGAGTTTCCCCATTTGTGGTGAAAAATAAAGTGCAATCTAATCTAATCTAATCTAATTTGTTTTCCCATAAGTGTAGAGAAAAATATCTGCTATTTTCTACACCATGTTCATCAGCAAGTTGATACTTTGTGTGCCAGTCAAGTACATGTTTATAGTTTTTTCCTGGTAAAAACTGCTCCTTGCTGGTTCTGGTGACAGGGATGATCTGAGCAATGAGAATGAATTCAAAGAGCAAAGGTGAGGGGAGAGGGAAACTCTAGATTTGTCGATCCGGCAGCAGAAAAATGTTTGCAAAGACTGCAAAGAAAAACGGAATATTACAGAGACATTGGAACTGGCTTATATAGTTTCCTATATGCACAAATATGAAAACTTGTCCCCTATGCTAGGGGTAAAAGTAGTGTCTAATAGAGCGGCTCTCCCAGGACTGCCTGTAGTGCATGTAGCAGAGTACGCATCACAGCTTGGCAGAAGGTGATGCAGTCAGGTTTACAATAAGTTGCTGCCTAGTTTGTTTAGTCCATTTCTGGAAAATTGATAAACAAAGAACCCATGATTTTCCCTGTTCAATATAACTGACATGTATGAAGAACACTGGCCGATAAATCCACAACAGAATTTTTTACTCTTCAAATTTGGCATCGACATTGGCCATAAGAATTTAGTATCAATCAGGCTCTACTGATAAGCCCTCAAATTCATGGGTCTGTTAATCAAACTGGACTAACTGGATCATGTTTCATCGTCTCACTGGTTCCTGAAGCCATATGTTGATAGTGATGTGAGTGGAATTTTTTTAATGCTTTCAGTCTCAACGGTAACTTACCCTTAGTCTGCGGTGAAGAATCTTAATCTCCCGCTCCATGTCATGTTTCTGGTCCTGCAGCTTCTTCACAGAGTCTGAAATAGGAACAAATGCATGGCATAAATGTTCTCACGCATCACAACACAATGAATACTTTCTCAACATTTCTTACTACTGTACAAGCCATTTTCAGTCCATCATGGCCAAAACAATTTGTTCTTTTGGACAAGAATTTTCCCCAAAAAAGACTGTTTTGTGGCAAAGTGGATACAGATTTCTGTAAAGTAATGTCAATTGATAAAAACCATACAATGTAAAATGAAAGTATTCAACCCCTTTAATTCAACCCCAAATGCAGCCAGTTGGTGGGAGAAGTCACACAATTAGTGAAATGGAGATCACCTGAATGCAATAAATGTGTCTCAGTGATTGTAGTATAAAGACATCGGTATCTTGAAGGTTTGATCACTGGCGAGTCAGCACTACTGGCTATGACTCCACCATAGAGGTAAAAGAACACTCCAAGTAACACTGGGAAAAGGTTATCTATACGAAAAAGTCCAAAGGTGGACACAAGCAAACTTTTGAGTCACTGATTATCTCTTGGAGTATAGTACACTTAAATTTATCATTATGAAATGGAAGGAATATGGCGCATGCCTAGAGCACAGTCATCTGAGTGACTGTGCAAAACAGAGACTAGTGAAGGAGGCCACCAAGACACCTATGATTCCTCTATTGGAGTAACAAGCTTCAGCAGCTGACAAGGACAGTGCATATAATACTGTTGTCTGTTCTTTTTCTTGACTAGAGGTTGCCAGAAGGCGTGTGGGAGACTTTAAAATCAACTGGAAGAAGGTTTCTCTGGTCTGATGAGACTAAAATGTATCGTTTTTGGCCATTCGACTAGACATAATGTTTAGCAGACACCGAGCACGGCACATTATCACAAACACATTATGAAGCATGGGGGTGGCAGCATCATGATGTGAGAATGCTTCTTGGTAGCAGGCCCTCAAATGCTTGTAAAGGTAGAGGGTAAAATGAATGCAGCAAAGTATTAGGAAATGCTGGAGAACAACCTGATGTAGTCTGCAAGAGAACTGCAAAATGGGAAAAAAAATGTTTTCCAGCAAGACAATGACCCGAAGCCTGCAGCCAAAGCTACACAGAAAAGGTTTAAAGGCAACTAGGTGAAGGTTCTGGAGTGTCCTAGTCAGAACCCAGACCTTAATTCAATTGCACTGTCCAGATGTGCAACGCTCAACGCTGTAACTGTGGCTACAGGTGCATCTACGAATAGTGACTTGAGTGGGGAGAATTTTTTATAGGTCCTGCAAAACTACCATATTACTACTGTAAGTTTAGATATTATAACAAGTTTGCACTAAGTTTAAAGAGTGTGTTTCCAGCAAACTTACTCTCGAGGTCTGTTATAATGAGGTTGTCGTGGAGTTTAAGAGCTCGATGCTGCTCCACCTCATCCTCTAGCTCAAAGATGGTTTCCTTCATGTCGGCAATCTCCGTCTCCTTCTCCTGCAGCTCCATACGCTGCTTCTCCAGTGCACGCTCCTGGTCAGACATCTGCTGCTGCACCTGCTCCTGGAAGTCTCTGTATTCCCTGTCCAGCTGCACAGACAGGATGAAGAGCATCTGTCATTTAATTATCAACTAGCCATGAGGTAATTGGCTGCCTAATGTGCAACAAAACTTCAGCAGTGTCTGATTTTTATTTAGAGAGACTGATTGCATACACTGTGTATCTTAAGTACATATTCGCACAGTTATTCTCCGTCTATTCTTGTATTAATGAGGTACAAATTAAGAACGTGTGCCATCCCAAAGCTAGAATCTGGAGAACTACAGTTCTGCAGGCAATACAATTATGATTTCGGTGACCCAGTAACTCCCGTGTTCTTGCACCCTCGATAAAAGTTGTATTTAGGTCAAACACCTCAATTTAACTTTTTACTGCCTGAGGAAATTGATGCCCCACACACATCTGATTTTACATTTCTAGTTGTCTGTGAGGCTTCAAGGTTTAACTAACCTTGCTGAAAGTCTCCTGCAGTCGGTTGAGTTCACTGTGGGCTTGTTCCAGCTGCTCTTGCATCTTTGCAGCCTTGGCCTCTGCCTCCTCCTTCCCCAACCGCACACCTTCCAGCAGCTGGCAGATGTCATTTTTGTCCCCTGCGGTGTGAAGAGAATAAAGCTCGGCCACCCTCTGCCTCTCCTGGTCCAGTTGGGCTCTGCAGCGGTTCAGCTCCGCCTGGTCACTGCTCACTGCCGCCTTGTACTCTTCCAGTGCAGCCGCCATGGCAGCTCGGTCCTGTCTCTCCGATTCCATGATGCGTTCCATTTGGTGGTTCCTCTCCTTCAGAGCTGCAATCATCTCCTGGGCTTCAGCATTGTCCTGCTCAGCCATCTTTAATGTGTTCGACAGGTGTTGTTGCACCCCCAAGAGCTGCTCTCTCTCAAAACGGGCATTGTCCGCCAGGTCTGCATAGCGCTGCTCCAGCTCCATGTAGCGGCCGCTCTTGATGTCCTCTTCTAGCACATAGGATATATGATGTTCATCAAGCAGTGATCGCAGGTATTCGATCTGTCGTCCATAGAGCTCCAGCTTGTCACTCTGCTGGCACAAGGAATCCATGAGGATGACCTTCTCCTCGCCGAGCCGCTCATTCTCTCCGTTCAGCTCCTGGGTGATTTGCTGCAAGTCAGCCAGCTCCTGTAGTGTGGCCTGAAGCTCCTCAGCAGTGCTGTGCTGGTTCTCCTCCATCTGGTGGATGCGCTCTGTCAGACAGGCTACCGACACCTCGCTGGCATTGCCACTGCTACCCCTCCGTGAGCGCTCCCTGCTGGGTGCGCACTCCGACTCAGATGACGAGGAAGCTCCAGAGGGGGCATCCAGAGCATCATCACTGGAGGTTACAGCTTGGTAAACCTCACTAGACTCACTGTCGAGGTTGTCTGCTGAGCCTCCATGCTGGTGTCCTGTGAGCAGATCTTCTAATGAGCCAGGAGCAGAGCCTTCCACCGAGGAGGTTAGTGTTCCTGTGCCTCCTCCATCACTGTGCCCGCTACCTGCTGCCAGGTCCGGGCTCAGGGAGGCGTAGTTGAACAACTTGTCAGAGGCATCCAGCCGCTGCTCCAGGGAAAAGCCCAGCGCGTTAAGACGGTCTTTCAGCATGCGGTTCTCACTCTTTAGCAGGTTGAGCTCCTCTCTGATGGCCTGGTTCTGCTCTTGTAAGAGAATCAGAGTGGATTCCACATCAGCTGCTGTGATGGCTGAAACCTGGGGTTTCTCTTCCTCCCCAGCTTCTTCCTGCTCTGGTGCTTCCTTCCCCCCCAAACCAAGCTGGGCCCTCATGTCCCTAAGCTCACTGCGAAGGTGGAGGATCTCCACATCTTTGCTTTTAGCCAAACCAAGCAGGTCTTTTACTTTGGCTTCTAGAGCCACCTTATCACTAATCTGGCCATCTGACTTGGACTTGCTCATGCGACCCTCGGACTCTGCCAGGATCTGGCTGCGAGAACGCTTTCCTGAGGCTGCATCCCCTGCTACAGTCCCTGACACAAGCTGCTTTTTAGCAGCCGTTGTCCTGGATGTTCGGAGTCTGTCTCGAGATGAGTTTGGCTCCTTGGAAGTTGATGATGTTGTACGCTTGGATGAAGTACCTGGTAGGACAGTAAAAGGCAATGCTTTAATTTCTATGAAAAGAACATTGGAAAAGAATAAATTAAGTTCCGTGAGTGAAATTTTAGATACCTGATGTTGTCTTTGGCTTGCTGTCTAGGTTGCTAGCAGTAGTTCCAATGGAGGCTGTCCTCTTGGTCTTTGTGACAGCATTGCTTGATGCTGGATTCCCTCCAGCCATGGCAGCTAAAAGATCATCATTGCTTTTTACCTGAGAGAACAAAAATGCAACAAATTCATTTACAATCAATAAAATAAAAACAAATATAAGCATATCAGCTGCTCAATGGTCCATCACTTAATAATTTTCACCTTGGACAGAGGGGCGTTGGTGGTGCTTTTGGCTGTAAGTTTCCCGGTGCCAGCGATGGATGCGGCCTCCGACTTCCCTCGATCCCCACTTGCCTTACTCACCGCTGGCCGGACAGACTTCTTCATTCTTAGCTCTCTGATGCGGATACATCTACAGCTTAATCTGTACACAAAGGAGGGAAGGGTAAAGGAGGGAGAAAGGTAATGCATGTCAGCACACAGAGTGATAGCTCCAGTTTTCCATGGAAAAGGAATTCTTTCCACAGAAGCTATTCCCTGAACACTAGAAAACACTGAGATCACATCAAATAACTGAGCACTTGTAGAAACCACTGTCTGCCTTTGTGATTTAAAGTGTATTTAGTACAGCTGTTGTTTAGGCGGTAGGGGGTAAAATTTAGCTTTTTCTCCTGATCCTCATAATGATTAGTTAATGTAGAAATGCCGGTGAGAATGTTTATTCATATTTAAATCACAATGGACACAGTTGCAATTTCAATTATTTTGTCTTCCCTGCAGTTACATTTGGTAGCTGTTAGGACAGCTGTAGAAGACCACCCCTGACACTGGAATGTAGGGTAAACACCGAACTGAAGGGCTCCAGAGGCAGACTAATATCTCCACTAGATGGCTCTCGTGTTTGTGATAGTTCACTAAGTTCAGGCTTTCATTTGCCTGTCAGCTGCAACAACGATGACACTGATAAAGTCCATGTGGGTGGCTGCTGCTGTCGGGAGATGTGTGAAGAGTGCTGCTTTGCAGTCTAGTCTTTAGCACAGAAAAAAGATGGGCAGGAAAAAGCATCTTTCAAGCATCAACTAGAATGATAAGCAGAACCAAAAAAGGAAAAACTCGTTCAAAGTGAAGTCTCAAACTGCCAGCATATTTTGTGAGGCAAAAAATGTGAGTTCAGTTACCAAGCACTGCGTATTATCTTGCATGTCCGAGAAATGAGTTATTGCCACGCTTGTGCAAGTTCTACTCAAACCAGTTTACAATCACCATTGCTTTATTTAAACAACTTGACAATACAGAAAAGATTCCTAATAACAATTGGATCTGGGGAAAATTTTTGAGCATGCTTCAAAATGCGTACTGAATTAGCAACAGATGACATATTCTCTCAGACGTATGAAGCACTTTAAGTTTTGCTTAGAGTTGCAATTTAACCAGTAAACTGTGTTTGTTTGGCAGCTAACGTTGTGTTGATCCTGGCTGTAACTAAATTACAAAAGCTTGTATAAAACACAAGAGGTTTTATTCGCTCATATGTTGCGTCCAGGTCTGAAGAGAATCTGACTTGATGCCACGATAGCAAGAGCAGTGATTTGGGACACAGCTGGAGACAAAGAGTAAGTATTTTAGCACAGACTTGTGTGTCTTGCGAGTTTTCTTCAGAGGACAGAGTGAGCTGAAGTGATTTATTGTACACAGGAAACCAACTACAATCTACCTCTGAGTCAGTGCTCCTTTGTTTTCCTGCATAGAAGTTTGTTGTTTGGATATGGAAATAAATATAATCAAACAGCAGCCGTAAATCAGACTTTAAATAGAATCCTGTGAGAAGCTGACCGACGTACTACAGCAGGACCACAAATGTTTAGACAACTCAGTGACTAAACTTCTCTTTCAATCTTAGCTAAATAAATACACACTACAAAAATGAATCAGCATTTAAACATTGTAAGTCAACTTTCTTTGTATTATACATTTCCAAGGAATCCAAAATAACTTGCTCAGAAACCACAACTGCACTTCATTCAAAGACATACTATTCTAAGGGATTCATCTTTTTCGAGGTGTCACTTTAAATCTGCAGCAAATCTTCCACTCTGAGTGCACAGAGTCCTCAAGGGGAGTAAGTTATTAGGCTTGTTATTTCTGTTAACCTTCAGTGATGGCCATCGGTGACGTGGATGCTGGGAAGTGTTTAGCTAGACCTACTTCACAGCCCTACATCATTAAGAGTTATGAGTAGTTTGAAAGGACTTACACAGAAAAATATGCATCTCTTCAGTTGCACAACTTCAAATCTTTACACCAAAATGACAACAATGACAAATAATTGAAAAGCCTCTTGAAGCCACAAAATACATGTCCCAAACCATTAAACCTAAGTTTGCAAAGAGCTGTAAGCAAACAAAAGAAACTAACTTCCCTGCCTCATTGAAAGAAATAACAAAACATATCTCTCAGCTGGTTTGACTCTGCAGCTCTGAGGCTCTGGTGGTGTAGAAGTATATCTTATTTGCTGAAACAGACTTGTACAAAGGGATTAAAATGAGCATACCACTGACATAAAAAGCCCAGAAGCTCAGAATTGTGTTTTTGTGCATCTTTTCACAGTCAGTGTTCTTTACTAGTTTTGAGTGTTTTGTTTTTTTGGTTTTTTTTTTTAAATGAAGGCTAGTTTTTATTTGCATTTAACTCCCCACTGACATTACTGGATCTGAAGTCCTTACGTCATGCCAGTACCTAAAGAACATTTGTGTTCTCATGACTACAAAAGCCGTCACGGCATTTTGGCAAGACCAAGACATTAGGCTGTCTTGACTTATTTACATTTGGCAACAACAGTGGCCCAGAAACTACAATGTTTGGACAGAAACTATAAGCACATTTTCCTAAGGTTCATAAAGTTATTTTGTAAAATGAATAAGCTAAAATAATAAACTGGTATTTGATCCTTAGAAAAAACACATGGCTCTGGTTCTCACTTTAGAGAGCGAGAACATTGCCCTCTGAATACGAACAAAGAGGTTTCTGAAAAATCTCTGAATGTCAAAGTGACTTAAAACATTTTTTATGTGATGAACTATACCTACTCTTCCTCTGTTCAGGGCACCTGTGTGAACTTAACTGACTTTATAAGTCCATGATAACCTTGAAATGGTTTTGTTAAAAGCAAATGCAAAACTGGCACAGTCAGAAAGACCAGTAACACATTGCTAACACAACTAGGAGTAAAATTAATTTTAAAAAATAATGAAATAGCAGAAAGGAAGGCTTTAGAGATCAGCAAGAATTACCAGATAGAACTGAGTTCACAGACAATTAGCAACAGGATTCAGAAGAATGGGTGCAGTGAAACCATTTTACAAACTTAAAGAATAAGACAGTGAGCATTAAATTTGCAAAAGAACATGCACAAAAGACAGTAGCGTTTTGGATGCGTGTTATTTTCAGCTGAGTTCAAATTCAACCTACATGGAAAGTCAGGAAGAATTCCAGCCAAACTGCACTACAGGTACAGTGAAGTATGGAGGTTGGAAAGTTTGGCGCTGCTGTGTGCGTGACCGTACTATATCTAGTGATGGAATCATGAACTTTGTAATATGCAGAGGAAATCTGGATGCAAACGTAGAAGAAATGTGCCAAACAAAATCATTCAAGTGAGAGAAGTGGCTCCTTCAGCAGAATAAGGATCCAAAGCATACCAGCCTCCTGTTCAAAGAATATTTCACTCAGAAAAACATCAGTCTTAGAATAACCTTCCCAGAGCCCTGACCTCACCCTATTAGAGCATCTATGGGATGCCAAGGACAAATAAATGTCAGCTCGTAGATGCTCTGGTGGGCATGAACTGAAAGCTTTGCTGGCTGAAACATGGAGGAAACTTTCACCACAGCTATTACAGAAACTGGCTGATTCCAGGTTCAGACTTTGTAAAGCAGTTCTGCAAGATAAAGGATGGCAAAATAAATACAAAAACACTGCAACTGTGATCTTTAGTTAAGCCAATCTTAGACTTGTGCTCAGTTTGAGCTGTTTATCTATTGTTTTATCCTTTAAAACCCATTGTTTTTTGTTGAATACTTTGATAGACAAGCATGCGTCAACATTTCTACTAAACAATTTCCATTTTAGAAATGTATGAATAAGTGCCCATATGTGCAATTTTGGGGCCACTACATAAATAAATGTCTGAGAAGCTCTACAGCTCTGTTATGAAGGTCTAAAACTGTACCTTAAAGCAACAAAGACACAAAGAAATTTTCTAAATGTTTAACAGCACTATTGCAGCTGTTAAACATTGACCAAATGCCACCAAATGAGTAATGTCCCCATCTGAAGATACAAAGGAATTAATGAGACCCAGCTTTGCTATTTTAAGCCACTAACAAGTAAATATTGTACTAGAAATTAGAATTGTGGTGCCAAGTCTTATTCACAATAGCCTGAACTTATGACATCACTGTTTACAACCCAAACAGTCACAGCCCTGGTTTGCATCTCTGCACAGCCTCATCTGTCTTTGCGCATCTAATTGTACTGCCTGTGTTTTGGGTTACATTTCTGCATGTATGCAATTATCTATAACACTTACAGTATGTTTCAATTGTGCAGGGCGTTTTCCCCAAGCACTGACATGTGCACTCAACAACTAGCCAGTTTTCTGAATAGCTGAATGTGTGTCAAAGCAGATGTCTGAAACAGAGAGCTGCTAGCTGGAGCACAGCCCTTTTCATTGGGTCTGAATAGACATGGGAGCACAGGCTGGGGACCAACAGAGCAGCTAAATGGGGCAGAGTCAGCAGCCTTTTCTTTCACTCTCCCACTCTAGAAACCAGTGTGCTCTTCACTATGTAGATCTATGCTATCTACTGCTAAATAGTTTGTTTGAGTACTGTTTTTTTTTAACCCTTACTGATTCATATTTAAACCAAACATCTATGCTCACACTGGGTTTACTGAAATTTAAAAATGCGGTCAAAACCTTGTGTTTATTCAACACTACTGTGCTTTACACCAGCATCTGTGATGAATTATAGTATCACAAACAGCACTGATTATGACTCCTGATGACTCCACATCACTGGGCTGGCTGTTCATGACATCACACTGGATTTGTGTTTAAATATAGCTAAACTCTTTCATAAACAGCACAGCATGAAGAGGGCAGAGTCCATCGTGTTTGCATGAAGCTGGCAGACATTTTTAAAAAAATATTAGCCAGGTGATTCATTGTCAACTGAGCAAGACGGATGATTGTTGGACTGGGAATCTACAAAGCATAAGAGGCCACAATGATAGCATTTAAAAGCAACAATTGTGTCTAATAAATATTCAGATATCTCCACTATCTATCAGTAGGATAATGCTTTCATTATGTTGTCAACAGAATTATATGCGTGCAATGTGACAACAATGTGTAACCACTTAGCCATGTAATGCATGCTCCAGTAGGCCAGAGGACAAAGACACATGTCTTAATTCAAAACAACTAAAGCTGCAGTGTTTGATTTCAGCATTAATGAATGCAATGGATCAGATCCAAGGCTGACCAAAGGACCAAGTGTGCACAGAGCTCCTTTACAGACAGCTGAACAAAAGCATGAGACTGAGACAGAGGACGAAGAAGAAACTGCCAAGGAGGAGAACTGAGAGAGTGGGGGTAGTAGTGGTCTAGTAAATACCCCTTCCCCTGCTCTCCTGCCTTATTCATGCTTTAACTGCGGGGAGGCACTTCCTTGCCATAACATCAGCTTCCTGTGGTGGCGTCTCCCATAAAAAAAAAAAAAAAAACAGTCAACCCTACATGGGTGACTATTTGTAAAAGGACAAGCAGGCACCAGTTTGCCTGAGACAGAGCAGACACTGTCAAACCTTGAATCTCATTTGTCACAATATGCCTCGCTATTCATATGAGAGACTGGAAAGCAATTTATTAAACCATTTTTATCAAGTAACCTTCAGGAGAACAGAGCTGCAATGATTGATCGATTATAAAGTATAAATTCTCTTCAGCTTGTGGACCAAAAAAAAAAAGCATTTGAGGATGCCATCTTGGGCTTTAGGAAACAATGAAAGACATTTTTCCCCCCATTTTCTGACATTTTATATTAAAACAACTAACTGACTAAATTGAGAAAATAACTGAAAGATTAATCAACAAGGAAATCATCAGTATGTTAATGCCTTACAGCTGATAAAAATGACACATCTGTCGCTAAAAAATTCAAACTGAGCTACTTTTTTTGACACCTTTAACATCCTAAGAGTCAATCTGGAACTGTAGAGCAAGATGACCCATAAAACTTATACTTGTCTATAAAAATGCCAGTGAGTTGTGACTTATCTTCGTGAAAAGCCTGTCATGGAAATTCATTTCCTTCCTGCCGCTTATTCAATGTCACCTGAAGGCAATTTTTCCAAGACTAGAGCCTCTTCCAACATATTTCTCTAAAAGCAATGATCAGGAGGAGCCAACAAGAAATAGCTCGTAAGTCACATCTCCTGGAAATTGATTTGTAGAGTGAACTGTGAAAAATAGTTCCAGGAAACTTGGGAAAACCTGTGGCCACTGGGTTAGAAGAGATTATTTCAAATGGAGAGAGTATGTGAGCAAACAGAGGCTACATCTGTGAAATAGCAAAGAGTCAGGAGCAGCTCAAACACAGTGACAAGCTGCAGCATCAGTGCAGTGTTGACTCTTCTCTGGGGGGCACATTTACATTGTTCTGGGCTACACCTTCATTAGCAGCCCCACTGATAGCTTTAACCCTAAACTGGGCCATTCAACTGCACATGGACATGCTTTACCAACCAAACAGTTTACTTAATGACAACTAATCCGCTGTATGAAGTAAGCAAACGTTTGTACTATCCTATGAGAGACCAAATGGCAACTTAAACCCAAGGAGACACTCCAGCTAGCTAGTTAGCATTAGTGTCAGGCATGCAGGGAATTTCAGTGGAACCAACTTATCGGTTGGCTTTCAAAACAAAAGCACTGGGCTAGACACGTAAGCACAACTCTGAAACACTTCTACTGAAACTGTATTAAACCTTGAATAAAGCGAGCTACTTTGAAAGCTATAGTAAAAATATAAGCCTGATAATAAGAGGTATGGTGCAGTAGGTAGATGACGTAGTGCGGTTTTAAACTGCAGATATATGTTGCCAGGGAAAATGTTTTCAGATTACTATTTAAAGTCACATGATCTGAAGACAAAGCATTGAAACTATATATAAAAAGACAACTAGCTAAAAAAAAGGAACATTCAGGGAACCTTTAGAGAACGTTCCCTCAAGGTTCCCTAGACGTTCCTGTTTGCTACTGTGAATGAACCCTGAGGGTACGCCACAACGAATTGACTTATTTTGAAATTATTCATTGTACGGGATAGGTGAATTTGCTAACTTGACGACTGAACTAAAATCTGTTCTGTGGCTTAAAACAACAATTATTTTGTCATTTAAAACCAACAAAATAAAGATATCGAATGTGTCTAACTGGCATAACTTTACTGTGGATGCCTGTGTGTGTTTTCAGTGAGTTAATGGTCCCCTGCTCTCAGTGAGCAGTGCCGAAGCTAAGGCTGCTAACGCTATCATTAGGCTAACAATGTTAGCATAGCCGGCATAAAGACAGCGCTCCGTCAGTAAACTGATAAAATATCCTCACCTCCGCTTCTCCTAATTCTTCCTGCGTGAGAGACTGATTGGAGTCCGATGAACGTCCATTTGCTAGGAGTTGGTTAATCCCACAACTTGTGAAGGCTCCAAGCAGCATCGGTTTCGGATGGCAGCTCCTCTCCGCTGGCAGCAGCCGGATGATCCTCAGCCCCCTCCCCTGGTTGCATCACCTCAGCATCAGCCTCAGTGCAGGAGGGACTCCTCTCTGTCTCCAGCGTGGTTAAATGTCCACGGTGGGCTCTCCAAATCACTCCTGGAGCAGGACCACGACTCTGCACAAACGTTTGAAGTGAGTGAATAACGGGCAAATATCGTCCAAATTACTAGATAACCATAGTGGATTAGTGCTAATCTGTTTTAGGTTTACACAAATCCCTCACATGATTTGAAATGTATCTGACTTTATTAAATATCAGGCTGGTTTGTGTACACATTTTGCTAAGATCAACTGCATTTGGTAGAAAACAAATGCTAGAAACTTGCTTTCTATTTTATGACTGTCCAAGGAGCTTTGTGTTTGTTTGGGAGGTTCCTGGAGGAAACTAAAAACTCTAAAGAGGTTGCTGAAGGAATTTTGTTATTCTTATTATTATTGTTTTATGTACTTATTAATTTTTACAGTTGGGTGTAGGTGTAACTGACTTACACCTGCATTTACACTTTGTATTATTTCTTCTTTCTTGGGGTCCAATGGACCCCGAAAGACCTTCTACATATGGCAACATGAAAGTCCTGAATAGGGTTAAACTTGGTTTTATTGTAATTGTGTATATTGTAATGTTTCAATGTGTGAAAAAATATTCATTAGTTTGGTTCATTTTATAATAAAGGAATAACAAGGTTGACAGTATTAGAAAGCGTCATGTTAGTCAAATATAAAACTTAAAAAAAAAAATAAAATAAAAAAAAAAAATATATATATATATATTTAGAAATCTCAGTATTTGCATAGTATACAGAAACTGAGTATTTTGCTCAAAACAGCAACAACAACAACAAAAAATATACTGCGGAATTGTTTCGGGTTAATTAACGTCAGTCTTGTTTTCCCACTGGAAAGCATTGTGCAGTAGAAATGTGCTTTAAATGTGCTGTATATATAAAAGTGACTTGACTTAAGACTTGTTAACTTTGTACGTACATTGTCACTGATTTTTAGTTTTCTAAATCCTTCAACTTGGATATTACTTTTTGCTCAAGCTTGGAAAGTATCCCAAAAAAATCAAATATTATTTAAAACTGCAGTTGTTTTTATTGTCAGTTAATCTGTTGATTCTTGTCTTGATTAATTGATTAGTTGTTTGGAGAAAAAATTAAGATCAGTGTTTTCCAAAGCTAAATATGGCATCTACAACCCAAAGATATTTAGTTTACTGTCATAAAAGAGGAAAGAGACCAGAAAATATTCATGTTTCAGAAGCTAAAAAGACTATTTTAACTTTTTTCAATTAAAAAAAAAAAATCCAATTAGCAAAATAGTTGGCAGTTAGTTTACTTGACAATTGATGAATTTCAGCAGCTATTATTATTATTATCATTATTATCATTATTATTACTACCACTGGCTGCAGAGAGCCACAAAACATGAACTCTGCTGAAAAAACTTTGCATGCTGAGGTTGGTTTTGATATGACTTTCTTACTTTTGATTCATAAAAGAGGACTCACCCTAATGAGACTTTATACTGAAAAAGGACACAACAAAAGTTACCAAGTTTTTATTTACACAAATCATACATACATGACACACTGGTTATCCTAACAATCACTACGAGTTATTGCTTAATTTACATGATTCAAAAGCCTTTAGGGTTACAGATTGTGCTAACAAGTGCTTGAATACTTGTAGTGATTTTGAAACAAAATATGAAGGCAAGCACGCAGTGTATTTTCACAGAGCTTTAAAAGTAATACTAGGTATGTGGGTGATTAACCAGTTAATAACTCAGCATATTTGAATATGAGTGAATCAGTGTGCTTCAAGGGTCCTACAGGGAAATATTTGGTATTTTAGATCATCTCCAGGTGCTCTCACTTCTACAGCAGTGTGGTTTTGTTATATAAAGGTAAAAGACTTACAGAAAAGGAAGGCAGAAAGCAACACATACATTAACTCCAGCTGAATACATAAACTCAAACAGAATCTAAAAAAAAGAATCATGTGGTCACATGAAATATGGACAAAAATACAACTGTGAAATTCAAATTACACACAGCACAGTATACATTCCGTAGGTGGAAGAATTAGGCTGCGCTTTTTTCTGGAATGATTTTCCCCTCACTTCTTTGTACCACCTCCCAAAAAGCACTCAGATCTATGTGAAAGTCAGCTCGACCCTAACCACCAGAAGAACCTGCAAACTGAATAAGGTCACTACACAAATTTTATAGCACAGAAAAAAAACAAAACACCTCTAACTGTTAGGTCAACATGCCTGCATGTTGGTGTCTGTTAGCTACAGTTTTCAGTCTCATACTTTTAAACTCTGTACAAAATTCAGAGAGTGTGTAAACATTAGGATAAATGAAATGTTCTATTGGTCATCAGCAGGGAAACATTGGCACAGGAGAGCTTTAAACCAAGTCAAACATTTCTAAGGAAAAAAACTCCAAGAGAAATAATGTTGATTCATTCATTCATTCATTCATTCATTCATTCATTCATTCATTCATTCATCATCCAGCCACAGAAATAAACCTCACAAAATCCAGCAACAGCAGAGATCCCCCTTCTGTGACTACCAGGCTAATGTGCACAGTGACAGAATAGGGCAGGGGAAATGTTTAAGTACAGTAAATATTGCTTCCTGGAGTTTAAATTAAATTAAAAAAGGAATGATATATTTTGTCCATACATCACAAAGGGATGTCGTTTACTGACACAGCAGGTAAGCTTTAAAGCAAACAGAACACACATGCTCATCACATCTCCAAAAGAAATGGCTTTGGTCATGGTGGCTGTTTCCAGTTCTCAGTGGCATGATGGTTCCCCCTGGTGGCTAAATGAAGCATCCTCCGAGTAAAAGCAGCGAGTCTCGGTTGCTCAGCAGCGTCCACCTCATTAAGCGGCCCACATTCCTCCTCAGAGCAGGACATTTATGGACAAACCCATGATGTTCCTGTTATACTTCAGTAGAGAAGAGAAGGCTCTGACGCTTGCTGTCAGGTGTTGGAATGCTCTCCAGCTGAAGGAAGTAGAGAAGGACCTGAACCTGTGGAGGCACATGAGGTGATGAGACACACACATAGTCCGACGTCAAGGCCTCACTTATCAGTATCCTGACACGAGTTTTACCTGAGCCATGACCTCCAGAGACCAGCTGTCGTTCATGGAGATCGGCTGTGAGCTGTTGGAGATTTTGCTGTCTTTTTCAGAGGGCCGAAGTAAAGTGGGACCAAACACTGTGGCCAGATTGTGCAAAGACATCTTATTGATGCCCTCATTTTCGGCCACCCTGTAAGAACAAGCAAAAAATAATGTTCAACCTATAGACACCCACGAAATCTCAACACAAACATCTTCACCAAATGTCATTAAAAGGTTCGACTCAGCTTGAATCTTTAGATGACTGTCAGCTAACAAACCTTTGTACCTTCTGCTGAACAGCAGCCAACACAGGTGTAGCTGTAACTATTGGTGTAAAGGTTAAATCACTGCATAGCAACAGTAGCACAAGATTAGAAGAGTCATTAAATAAGTGAACTGACTCTCAAGTATCTAAAGTGTGCTACATTATCTAAAATGAGTCACCATAGTCTTCTTCTACCAGCCCAAGCAAGACTTCAGCAATAAAAACACTGTGTGTCAAGTGAACAAGTGTGAGGTGTCACACTAAACCAGCTCTTCAGTTTCTTCCTTTAAAAATTACACATTTTTTCTTTATTGTATGTATCTTTTTTCCAAAGCACTATTTTAATTAATCATAAATATTGGCACGTACCCTTTATGCCTATTGCTATATATAAAAAAAATATTTAGCCTGTAGGTTAATCTTAAACAGTACATCTGTATATAATGTGTGTGATACATGCAGTAGAACTGATGCACAGATACACAACAGCTCAAGGATGTATACTAGGGAAAGTTGTTTACCTTTTTAAGTGGTCAAGCAGGAAGAGAAAAGTGACCAGGTTGGGTTCCGGTAGAGACAGCAGCAGGTTGAGCATGCAGCTCTCCTTGGCCACACTGTCAGACAGAGCTGCAAGACAAACACACATGTGGACATGCTGCTGTTAAAACACACATTTATGCCCTGCTGACCATTGAAAATAATTTTTTTTTAAAACGACGTGGTGACTGACCAATGCCTCCAGCAAAGTTGGGGTACAACTCATCAGTGAAAAGAGGCTCCGGCAGCTCACGGAAATACAGCTTCAATGTTCCAGCAATGGCGTTTACATCCATCTCCCTCATCATGAGAGACACGTCCTTGTTGTCTGCAGAGCAGATGAAACAACACTCAGTAAACTTTAAAGAATACAAGCTGCACAATGAGCTAAAAAATACTTCTGAGCTGAGGCAGCTTTGCACTGCTGTCTTCAGATTTTCCCCAGATGAAGAATGTTTTTGTGTTCTGACTGTCATCATTTCCTACGTTTGACATAATGCTTCTGGAAAAAAAACTAATTCAAAGCAAACTAACTTGAATCAAAAGCAGCCTTCAGCGCCTGGATGTCAGTTGCGACGCCAGACACTCTGTAGATTCCCACTTCGTCCATCCCTCGTCGCTCAATCTCCTCCACACACTGGCGCACAATGAGCGGGACCTTGGAGCGTTCTCGCCTGGTGAGGACACCGACACAGAGACAAGGCTGCTTACAATCCAACAGATCATATGAATACTGTGAGCATATCAGAGCAAAGCTGAAACTACTGCAGCCTTTTACATTTGTGGTCAGTCAGGACCAGTGCTTGAAGATCTAAGACCACATTTCCTATACACACCACTGTTTGCTTATCCCCAGGTCTTCCAAAGTGCAAAATTCTAATTGGGTGCTAATGGAGCTGCCAATATTGTCTAAACATAACCCATTCAATTAGGCCCTTTTTACAGAAGTTATCTTGACATCTCTCTGAATGAAACGCACAGGTGTAAATAACAAATAAATGATGGGTGAAGTCCATTTAGT